AGGAATCTACTCATCTCACTGGAGGAAAATGCCAGTTGAGAACTAGTACCACAACGAAGATTTGCTTAACGGATGCGGACTTCAAGCTCGTTTTTCTGCTCGTGATTTTGTGGAAGCGGCTGGACGTCAGGCAGCAGCAGAGAGAGGTCCCGCAGCGTGTGGAGTTGGGATGCTGACACGTAAGAACCTGCACGGTCAGTCCAGTCGCTTGCTCCACTTACACTCCCCATCCCAAAGGCACCGCCTTCAGGAGGAAAAAACCAGCCAGGCTCAGCTTCACAGCTAATAACACCACCTGAACCACACAGCAGATGATTTAGGACAACTAAAATGCAGCTACTAACAAAGACTATAATTATTATTATTAACCTAATATGTCACCTGACTGTATTTTTATGAACACCAAAAAGCCTTTCTTCAATTCACCTTTGTATTACAGCAAAACTTAGTGTCTGGGCATTAACCAGACCCTGCCCAGCAGCAGCCAGCTGCACTTGGTCAGCTATTTTCACTGCCATAAACTATTATTATGAGCACACAAAAAGCAATGTGAGGCAGAAGAGCACCAAGATTAAGCTAAAAAAGAGAAAAAAAAAAAAAAAAAAGCCAGCCAGCCAACAACAAACCCTTTAAAAAAAGTCACCAGCCAAAGGGTTCCACAAGGACTTCCCAAGCTACAATCACCAAAATGGCTTATTTTCACATATTCATCTCCAGTTTTGTTGGTAAGAGACAGCAAACAGGTAATGAGTTGGTCAATTAATTTAAAAAAAAAAAAAAAAAGACATTTGCCCTTAGAAAATAGAATATGGAATTCTTATTTTCTTATAGAGGATATTCTTAATATCTATTTCTCACCTTCTCAAAGACATATGTCTAAGAACATCCACCTCAGGAAAGAAAAGAAAAATCATAGTGCTCACTAGAATAAAGAAAAACATCCTTCAGGACACTCTTTTTGCAATTAGTATCTCGTTGAAGGTATTCCAACAAAGCCAGACATCCTTTTTTTCATATACATATATATATTTGTGTGTGTATATATATATGAGAGACAATTATGGAACCCTAAAATTGCATTTTGTTATTTTCTTTAGTTTGAAACCAAAACAACACAAAAGTACAGACCAGAAGGTACAAATAAGACTACGCTGATTTCCCACGGGGGAAAAAATTCTTTTCCCCCCCTCTACCCAAATCGAAGGGTGAGTTTTCCCACACTTTCGAAAATCAAAAACACGTGGGAAAGGGGTTTATTTCCTTGCATTTTAGTGAGGAAGTAGGCCATGCTGTAATAGTCTGGAGAACGTGTCTGCCTACACCAGTATCACGTTCCTGACCATATCTAATAATACATGGCTTTAGAAGAGGCCATGAGGTTTCTCCTCCTAAAGAAGAGACGCAAGAATTACCATCAGCGGATACCTAACCATCCACGGGTGACTTCTTCAAGAAACCTCAAGTCACATACCCTTCTCGGGGCAAGCCAACATTTTCTCAGCAGCCACACAAACATGAAACATCATTAGATGCTCCTGAACTCTTCCCCTGAATTGCATCTTGCAAGAGAAAGGCTCACGGCCCGACTTGACTTCTCCACAACAACATTTTTACACAACTTCATCTCTCCCTCAGTTCCCCTACATTTTCAGGTGTCTCAATTTTTTATTTTTTTTTTAATTGATAGAGAAGTCATTCTCCATCTCTTCCCACTTTATCATCCGTTTCCCAACTCCCACCTTCAGAGGGAGGAAACAATCAAACCAAACATTTGGTCACGCAAAGTGACGTCACTGTGTGTCACGACATTGTCATATTTGATACCTACCACCTCACTTAGATCTCATGTGTCCTGAGTACCGAGTGCAGTACATGAAATGTAAGATCAGAAGCACTTCTTACATCACTGGAGAAGACTACCACAGCTTTCCCAGATACCTGCTGCCCATGACAGCTCATTAACACATCAAAAAAGGTCACAGGCACACTCCAAAGGCAGGCAAATCCTAACAGGTGCTATTGAGTCACAAACAAGTTAAAATCATCCAGGAAGAAAAAAAAAAAGAATATTCATCATGAGAATTGTCTGCAGCACCACAACCTAACCTCCCATTCCACACTAGGAATCACTTCGGAAACTTCTGGGATATAAGAAATAGCTTGTGTGTCTAAAAACCTAACTCTTTCACCTCTATCTGTTGGTCTGACACGAGGTCTACTCCTTCCAAAAACGCACCTTTCTCATATCTTTTACCCCTCACATCTTTACGACCTCTAACTCAAACAGCCTCTTATTGCTAAGAAAACGGTGAATTCTGCCTCGGCGCAAAGCCGCTGGGAATACTGACCACAGT